CAACAGCCTGTTCTGTCACTAACATCTATATCAGGTATATCAACATGATCAAAGACTCTGCTCCGGGGTTGGATTCCCGACCGCGTCATACCAAAAGTCGTTAAAAGATGGTACTTGTTATTACCCTGTCTGGTGCTCAGCATTAAAGCGGCAAAAACAAGGACTGGTCGGCGCGGAGTCAGTATACTATGTCTGAGTCGGGTATTCATGTTAAACTGTTAAACTCTCAGTGGGCTAGTGGGCTAGTGGGCTAGTGGGCTAGCACTATAAATCGCTATATAAGTGCAATAATCTTGGACACAACGTTAAACCCCATTTCACCTCACCTCACTCAGTATCTTTGGAATAACTAGGGCAGACAGGTTATAACAGCCTCCCAGTGTAGTTCCACAGACCTGCATGATGCCCACACAGGCACAGAATGAGAAGCTTATTTGTGTCTCCATTCAAATGCTGCATGGGCGGATACAGAGGGGGGTGCGGGGGTGCGCACCCCCCCTTTTTATTTCGAAAAAAATCTTTATTTCCGTATAAATTACCACCAAAGACAATAAATAGATCTTAATTGTGCACCCCCCCTTTTAAAAAAAGCTGTATCCGCCCTTGTGCTGTATAACTTCTTTAATCAGCATCAACCTAGATTCCCCCAGTCATAGTACATGTAGGCTATAGGAGTATAACTGTACCTTGCCAAGGACGTCAAGGGGAGATAATGAGGCTGGTGGAGAGGTGAAGACGGAGAACTAAACCACAGCACTAACATGTCAATCAATCATACACCCTGACATTTCACTGCTATGTACATGATGTAAAATGAGTAAGGTCAGACCACTTATTTTTTCTTGGTTTATTATTTTTCTTTGGTCAATAATGTCAGGGTTGATTTGATATGAATTAATGCAAATGTCATAACAAAATACTAAAGAAAATGTTCAAAATAGTCATTTTAATCATAGCAAATATAATTTATCATGTTCATATGCAATGATATGTATGTGTCTAGTTTTGTTCATCTGTTTATACTTCTGTAAAATCAAGTGCAGTCTCCTTCATAAAGCATGAAAAGAAATGAAACAGAAAAAGCCCCTGCCCACCTGAGATGGCTAGGCACATCTGATTGTTGTAGCTTGCTGTCCAGCTTAGGTGATAAGGCACATATTTAGTGAAGGATTGTCAATACCGTGTTGTGACAGACCATAGGTCAGGCACACAGATAGTAAGGGAAGCAGGTGACAGAAGGAAAAGTGAATTACACATGACTTGGAAGTTATTTAATTACATCCTGACTCACAACAGTAGTTTTTCAGGATACAAGTAGTCTTTCTTGGATCAGGAACATGGACATGTTGTTAATAGAAAAAATGAAATTAGTCAATAAAAGAGGCAGTTGCAAGGTCAGGAAAGGTCATTTTCAGAAGGTTTAAAACCTGCTTAAATTCATGAGGAAAGATTATTCAAGGGAGGTAATTCAGACAAATGATCTGTCTGGTCAAAAGGGATACAAAAGCAGGTATCTCAATCCCCTATTTCTGTGGCAAGGTCAGGGATCTGATTGTTGAAGGTTGGCAAGGGAGTTAAGCAGGATATGACCTCAGCCTACCTGGCGCCAGGTTCTCATTTCAGTGCCCTGGTACCATGGTTCTGTCTCCTTCTCTAGGGACCACAAGTACAATGATCGCATTAAGTCTACACCAGGTAGCCAGCTCCTCTCCCTCTCCTCCTACAGTCAGAAGTAACCAGTGTTACCTGGGTACCTGCATGTGCTTGCATGTGTTTGCATGTGCTTAAATGTGCCTGCATGTGTTTGCATGTGTTTGCATGTGCTTGCATGTATTTGCCTTTGTTTGCATGTCCTTGCATATGTTTGCATGTCCTTGCATGTACTTGCATGCATGTGCTTGCATGTGTTTGCATATGTGACACCTGTAGGACAGGACATGTTACTTTCTCAACTAATATCATGATTCAAAGGTGATTCATAAACAAATCTCATTAAAATCAGACCTTAGTTCCCGCTACCGTTAAAGATCTGAGGACATCCCATTACGGGTCACATCAGACCAACCTTTTGCGAACTTTGACCGACCAATGGAATGACTAACAAGAAGTGGACAATAGCTAATCAGAAGGCAGCTTAAATGAGCTTTACGGCACGAGTTTCAAACTGGCAACTATGCATCGAAACATATTTTGACATATACTCGATCAAAACATTAAAAACTGAACAAAAGAACATTCTGGAATGGCTAATAGATGGTCTAGATTGTATGAATACAGACATAAAGCCCATAACTGTCGTTCAGAATACCTTGTGGTTTTTTTTTTGATACACTGACAACTACTACAAATATTTGGACTCCCTCACACTTCTGTATTGAACTTCCATGGACTTAATGTGGTGGTACATGTGCATTGCATTCATTGATATGGACGTAAGGTGGTGGTTTGGAATGCAGTTGACAATTATGAGGTTTGTCACAGCTGGTCTATTCACACCAAACTCCCAACTACTGATTTCTACAGTTCCAGCATTATTCACAGCGTTGATGGCCAGACAAACAACCTTGCTGACAACATCATCACCATGTGCTAAACAGCCTGCACAACACCAGCATGCATCTTCATTAATTAAATCACAGTTCTCATGATTCTGCTTGCTCAAACATACTAAAATATTGAAATGCATCCTAAATAACATGAGCTCTTTTATTTCCAATTTTGTAGACACATAAGAAATCTGCTCCCTGTATATATAACAGATTTACAGCCTTCATTGACTGATGGTGAAAACTCTACTTCTATGCCGTTTATTGACAATTCTCTTATTCTCAATCACTGTTCACAGCGAGATATAAGACACACAAAATTAAAAAGTCTTAACATGTTCAAAAATGACAACAAAAAAATTTAAAAAGTCATCAAAAGTATCAGACGAATCATTTTCTTGATAAAGGTGTTAGAATCACTGAAACATCACCTTTAATATAAAAAAGAAGCTGTTTATCCATTTGAACTTGTCCTTCCTCACACAGGCTTCTGAATGGGATTAAAAGATGTGTAAGCTGCAGTCTGTGCATGACTGTAAGCTGACCCTACTGCCGGGAATGACCCTTGACACGTGTAAATACACCTGACTGACTTTCTGAGAACAAGTATCTACTTTCATCAACATACAACATAGTTCTACATCAAATGTTTCCTAAAAACCTATTGTCTCCCTTGAACCAAAATTCTCCCTACTTTTCCAAACACTACTTATCATTCATTATATGAATGTTCAGTTCGGTGAACCATTATATTCAGGACAATTTCAGTGTATGGTACACATCCCAATTGGTTACAACTGACTACAACTGATCACAATTAATAAGTTGAACATGTGGAAGCTTGTGCAATATATGGTGGGTTTTTTTATCACCTGAATTAATAAGAAATACATATTGACTTACATATGAAGCTGACTACAACATCTGTTCAAATAGAAATGATTTACAATAGCACACAGGAACATCTTTCAGTACAGTTCACAACTCTGAAGCCCTCCATCCTACCCACACAGGAACATGTATCAGTACAGTTCACAACTCTGAAGCCCTACCCAAACAGGAACATCTATCAGTACAGTTCACAACTCTGGAGCCCTCCATCCTACCCACACAGGAACATCTATCAGTTCAGTTCACAACTCTGAAGCCCTCCATCCTATCCACACAGGAACATCTATCAGTACAGTTCACAACTCTGGAGCCCACAATCCTATCCACACAGGAACATCTATCAGTACAGTTCACAACTCTGGAGCCCACAATCCTATCCACACAGGAACATCTATCAGTACAGTTCACAACTCTGAAGCCCTCCATCCTATCCACACAGGAACATCTATCAGTACAGTTCACAACTCTGGAGCCATCCATCCTACCCACACAGGAACATCTATCAGTTCAGTTCATAACTCTGGAGCCATCCATCCTATCCACACAGGAACATCTATCAGTACAGTTAACAACTCTGGTTCAATGAAAGTTCCTGGTTAAATGGTGAAAAGTTAGATGACCGGCCCCCATGCTAAAGCTTCAATCTCAGTGAGAAATCATGAGACATATGCAACCAAGCACAACCCTCAATTACTCTCCCCATGAAAGGATGTAATACTAAGTTTGGCTGATGATCTTATTGTGTGCTTAAGCAGTTCTAATGACATAAGTGCCGAATATGCTGTAAAGATTAAATCACAAAATGAGAATTCATATTCATTGTGTACCAATCTCTAATCATGCTAATCACTTATTGACAAGATGCAATGGAAACTAAACAAGGTTGGTTAGTAAGGAAGAATTCATGGAGAATTATCTAGGGCTATGTAAAGTTTGCTCAGATAAATAGATTTGTATATGAGAGAGTAGAGAGAGGACAGAGCCTTTTCTGCTAGCATAATATACCCAATACTTGCCATGCTTGTAATAAATCTGTTATACAAGCACAATATAGCCTATGTATACTTGTCATGCTACTAGGGCTGGGACGGGTAACTCGGGTACTTGGGTCGGGTGGGTACTGAGTAGGACCCGGGTACCCACAGGACTACCCGGACCCGTGGTTAGTCACGTGATATAGTTTCATGACAAATTCACAATATAACTACAAGGTTACACGACTATTTTAAGTCTCTAATGTTTGCATTTCTTCATGACTACGAACACGTTCCTTCTGACTTATATATGTTTGAACAAAGCTAAAACTTTAGTCAACTTCAGTGTATGCATGACCACATCGTTTTATACGTGTATCTAAATACATTCTGCCAGGGATACTGTCAAACTATTTCCAATCGGACATTTTGTACCTATCTCTTGACACTAACAGCGGGTACCCGGGTAGGGTCGGGTAATAGGGGTGTGGTTACCCGGGTAGTAAAATTGGACTCGTCCCAGCCCTACATGCTACTATAAGCCAGTAAAGGTTTTTCTAGAGCTACAAAATAGAGGTATTGCCCTCACCCTGCTCTTTCCTGAAATAAGTTGTGTTATGGACTGGGCATCCAGATGATCTAAGGTGGAAGAACTTGCCTTCTCCATCTTATACTGAGACGATGCATCTGACTGCTCTGGCTGATATTCCATACTCTCCGTTGTCAGACTCGAGTTTCCATTCATCTTCCAGTTCAATACTAATCATGGAGCACACAATGTAAAAATCCACCTCCAGCAATTGATGCATACAGAAAAGTTACTTCCACCATCAAGCCAAGCATGCTACACCAGTGAGGTGTCCCAACCTGTGGAGTCCAGTGGTCTGAATGAAATGTGAAGCCCAGACAGCTGTCACCTACGCCAATCAGAAACCACAGGGAGATTGGTTTGAATCACTCAACCAAAAAACTCACTGCCCATGAACCGGCACAGCAGCAAATTAAACACACTGGCTGTGAGAGCACCTGACTAATTGGACTTTCATCTGTACCACACTAGTGGATGTGAAGAAGACCAAGTTGACACATCATTAATACACCTCAGAGATATCAGTACACTTAACCTGCAACACGGGATAAGTCTACGATTGCCCTACATAATGTTATACAACTATAACATCCCCCTTATGCAACTCCTTGCTTGTCGCTATATGGCTGAAATAATGCCAGTGCGACATTAAATCTTAACTCACATCACAACCCCTTGCAAAACTATCAAGCGTGTGAAAGTTGGTCAGACGTTACCTAAGCATAAACAGTATGGAAGCTGAACATGCCAGTGTTCATCAGAGGGATTAAAATGATGATGCAGTCAAACATGTACATGTTTATGTAGTACATATCTGTCGTAAATTACTGTCGTACATTACTGTCATACATTTCTGTAGTAAATTTCTGTAGTAGATTACTGTCATACATTTATGTAGTACATTTCTGTACTACAGTTCTCTAGTACAATTCTGTAGTACATTTCTGTCATACATTTCAAACCAAACCTGTTAGTTGCCTCTTACAACAAGCCCTGTCACCTCTTATGACAAGCATGGATTGCTTCAGACCAATTCTAACGGGTGCACAAATTGAAGAGAAAGCTCAGCGTTTTTCTCACAGATGAGTTACAAAATACAATAAGCCAGCTTGATAAGTTTAGAAGTCAGTGATTATTAAATTACAATATACATATGCCTCTGTTGTAAGAAGCCAATCAGTCTCCTACCCAGAGATGCTTGTGACCAGCTAAACAATATGTAAAGTGCACTGAAAGGCTTGCATGAGGCCCGTCTGTTCTCATTTCAGAATATGAGCATTTGTATAAAAATCGAACCCAGGTCTTCGGCGTGACGAGCGAACGCTTTAACCACTAGGCTACCCGACCGCCCCTGCACCAAACGAAAAAACATGGATTAAGGGCCACAACTCTGTAAACAAATAATTGCTGGGACAAATTTTTGAACTCAGTCTTGACAAGTATCTCTTGGATAAGCATGAAAACTTTCATTCATGCAACTTCAGTTGTTTCTGAAAAAACTTGTCCCCATTGCACACACTAGGCACTAAGTTGAAAAGCACTACGGAAGCGTACAGATGGTAAGACGAACATAACGATGGACGGACATAAGGAAGGACAGACATAAGGATGGATGGACATAAGGAAGGACGGACATAAGTAAGGATGGACATAAGGAAGGGTGGACATAAGGAAGGATGGACATAAGGATGGATGGACATAAGGAAGGATGGACATGAGGATGGACATAAGGATGGATGGACATAAGGAAGGACGGACATAAGGATGGATGGACATAAGGTGGATGGACATAAGGATGGATGGACATAAGGATGGATGGACATAAGGAAGGACGGACATAAGGATGGATGGACATAAGGTGGATGGACATAAGGAAGGACGGACATAAGGATGGATGGACATAAGGTGGATGGACATAAGGAAGGACGGACATAAGGATGGATGGACATAAGGATGGATGGACATAAGGTGGATGGACATAAGGATGGATGGACATAAGGAAGGACTGACATAAGGAAGGACGGACATAAGGATGGATGGACATAAGGATGGATGGACATAAGGATGGATGGACATAAGGAAGGACGGACATAAGGATGGATGGACGTAAGGATGGATGGACGTAAGGAAGGACGGACGTAAGAAAGGACGGACATGAGTAAGGATGGACATAAGGAAGGACGGACATAAGGAAGGACGGACATAAGGAAGGACGGACATAAGGAAGGACGAACTCCATTCCAAAATCCCCTGCCCCACTTTGTGGTGTGAGAGAAATAAGGAGATATTTTCACATTGCACTCAATTAATGTTTAATGTAATTGTGTAAACTAAGCATTAAACATGTTAAACACATGAAAGCCAGCTTAATTCTCTTCCCTGGACCTGTTATCAGTGGTATACAAGTCATCTCCACAAAGCCACTACATTACACAAAGACGTATCTATATACATCTTTGATTACACATACGGTAAATATAGTATAACAGCATGAATTTTAAATTTAAATTCCAAGTTGTGAATTTGTACTGACATTGACTGCAGACATGGGGTTGAATATTGGCCTCTGAACAGGTCCAAATAAAGAGTGATGTAGATTTTCACTAACATTTTGACACATTGCAACTGCAGTGACCATGTGACCCAGTGTTTGTCACTAGCCTGTATCATTATGATGAAGGTGCACAAGATCTGCCACACATGACCCACCAGAGACATGTGACTGACATCAATATCATCAGGGTTACCTCAGTATGATGATAGCACACTTCTCTTTAGGTACTCATTGTATAATTGGAGGTTTGTCATGATGTTCTGTTTGTTTGTTCGCTTGTTTAACGCCGCACTCAGCAAATCCAAGCTATATGATGTCGGTCTGTAAATAATCGAGTCTGGACCAGACAATCCAGTGATTGACATCATGAGCATTGATCCACGCAATTGGGATACGATGACATGCATCAACCAAGTCAGCAAGCCTGACCACCTGATCCTGTTAGTCGCCTCTTACGACAAACATAGTCGCCCTTTTAAGGCAAGCATGGTTTGTTGAAGACCTATTCTAACCCGGATCTTCACGGGTGGAACAATGTTCTGATACCATGGGTACAGGGAAATAAATCATGATAAATATGATAGGTTATATGCTTCAATTGCTTGGTTTTGATTTTTCTGCTTTTGATATATTATTTTAGGGCATTAAACTTTCCTCTCGTTGGGTGTTCTTTTTAAGCATGTATAACAATGATAACATCCTGGGTACAAAACTTCCTTGCTGCACTTTCCATCAAGGTGCTGTGTCCACACACCCGGGACAGGGAACGTCCTTGGGGCACTTTCCATCAAGGTGCTGTGTCCACACACCTGGGACAGGGAACGTCCCTGGGGTACTTTCCATCAAGGTGCTGTGTCCACACACCCGGGACAGGGAACGTCCTTGGGGTACTTTCCATGAAGGTGCTGTGTCCACACACCTGGGACAGGGAACGTCCCTGGGGTACTTTCCATCAAGGTGCTGTGTCCACACACCTGGGACAGGGAACGTCCTTGGGGTACTTTCCATCAAGGTGCTGTGTCCACACACCTGGGACAGGGAACGTCCTTGGGGCACTTTCCATCAAGGTGCTGTGTCCACACACCTGGGACAGGGAACGTCCTTGGGGCACTTTCCATCAAGGTGCTGTGTCCACACACCTGGGACAGGGAACGTCCTTGGGGCACTTTCCATCAAGGTGCTGTGTCCACACACCTGGGACAGGGAACGTCCTTGGGGCACTTTCCATCAAGGTGCTGTGTCCACACACCTGGGACAGGGAACGTCCCTGGGGTACTTTCCATCAAGGTGCTGTGTCCACACACCTGGGACAGGGAACGTCCCTGGGGTACTTTCCATCAAGGTGCTGTGTCCACACACCTGGGGCAGGGAACGTCCTTGCTGCACTTTCCATCAAGGTGCTGTGTCCACACACCTGGGACAGGGAACGTCCCTGGGACAGGGAACGTCCCTGGGGCACTTTCCATCAAGGTGCTGTGTCCACACACCTGGGACAGGGAACGTCCCTGGGGTACTTTCCATCAAGGTGCTGTGTCCACACACCTGGGGCAGGGAATGTCCTTGCTGCACTTTCCATCAAGGTGCTGTGTCCACACACCTGGGACAGGGAACGTCCCTGGGGTACTTTCCATCAAGTGCTGTGTCCACACACCTGGGGCAGGGAACGTCCTTGCTGCACTTTCCATCAAGGTGCTGTGTCCACAGGGTTAGGGTTTGAGCGAGCCAGTATCAAGTATTCTTGCTTACCTCGGTAAAAAATATATAACACGAAAAAGAGAAAAAGAGAGGCAATACTTACAACTATAAGTGTAAGGTAAGTTTTTAAGCAATGAAGTAATTGCTCACAGGTAATCATTCTCTGTGGGTATCTATAATTAGCTTTGGTTATTCAAGATATGTTTTCTTCCTTGGATCCAGTCTATTGAGTATTATAAAACCTGCGAGTACAATAGACACATTTCTGCTCAAATGTGTTACATATCACATAAGCTCTCAACAGGGATATATTATGACAAATGAGTGAGATATCAAGCTTTAGTGCATTATTCACTGCAGTAGAGTTGTGATGAATGTGATGTGTACGTTGAGTCTGTAAATAAAGATCTGAACGGAAATACAGATATGCAGGGTGGAAAGGTGACATTTTGTAATTATGCACATTGTTGTTGCGCCATGTTATACTATTTTGTAGTGGTTCTTGTATGTATGTTTGTACACACGCAAAGCAAAATGTATTGGTTAACGGTAAAGTGCAGTTTGCCTGGATCTCTACTTCACAAAACAACCCACACGGCCAATAACCAGACAAAAAACATTTACTAAACTTTAGGCTTTCCATTCTGATTGGATGCCACACTGATTCCACTATTATACAAACTTTTTTCTCGTTTCATAGGCTGCTTATTATCATGGAAATTATTGGATCAAGACGTATTTTGCAGTAATTTATTGAAACCAAACCTATGTTACAATGGTTACAGTAAACAGCCATTTGGTGACTGTATGAGACGTATGGTCGTCAAATCCAAATATACTCTAACCCTTGTCTATGAGATGTCACGCTTGTTGACAGAGTCGGCATGTCGAACAAATTCAACTATCTTAATAATGTTAATTTGGGGAAAAGATTCCAAGCCACAGAGGTCTACAAGCACCTTGGTAAATTGTTTCGCAATTTTTATCTCCAAAGCTGCCAATACTTGAAAAATGTCTTCGCTACATCACAGTTAGACACTGATTTTCAATATATTAGAGTGAGTGAGTGAGTTTGGTTTTACGCCGCTTTTAGCAATATTCCAGCAATATCACGGCGGGGGGACACCAGAAATGGGCTTCATCAATATATTAGACTATTCTTTGGATAATGATAGCAATTATCCCAGTAGTTTCTCCGGATTCTCGATGGTTGATTCTGACTCAATCGCAGAATGACAAGGATAACGCCAAGTTTGTTTATGAACTCTGAGTGAGTGAGTGAGTGAGTTGGGTTTAAC